CCCCCCCCCCCCTGATCTGCTTGTTTGAACGTTTTCACCCAGGAGCGAGAGGCGAGGGCTACACCTAACCTTGTTGGTCATCGCATTATGGCTGCTGTGGACATGCCTCTTCTTCGGCCTAGCTCGGGCCGTGCAGCAGAGCGCGCTGGAGCACGGGGTGCTCCCTGTATCGTGGGGCGACGTCAGGGGTAAGTGGCTTTGTAACTAGCGCTAGCTAGCCCCGCTGCGGGTGCATTCAGAGGTGTGCTTTACGTGGTAGAGCAGTTAGTCGTGGTCGTCCGTGTGAAAAACCGGAAACCCTTCATTCGCTATTCAGATCAACATGGGCACAGCTTCAACCGAAATGTTCGATGGACTGTACTGCTGAGTCACGCCGCTTCAACGGCCTTCTTCTTTTTCGCGTGGACAGGGCGACCGGCTTTGTTTGTGCAGACGGTGTTGTCTTGTCTTATATCCTATGTTATCCAGGGAAAAAGATTGCTGTTGTTGGGTTTGCCATGCCATGCCGGCTGTGATGCGTGGCCAATTGCGCCAGGCTCTTTGGACGAAAAGGCGCAGGGGGTGCTTCCACTATTTCGTTCTACAGCCCCCCCCCCGGCCATCTGCGCCGGGTACTACTTAGGGTTGCGCCACAGCGGCACGTACAGATGGAACGTTTCCAACGATGCTTGAAACACCGTTGCTGGGCTTGATTTATCAAGAGCAAGAGGAGAGATTGAACATGTCAGAGAGAGAGGGAGAGAGACAGAGAGAGAGACAGAGAGATACAGAGACAGAGGCAGAGACAGACAGACAGACAGACAGACAGAGAGAGAGAGAGAGAGGGAGAGAGAGAGAGAGAAACTTCAACACGCGCCCTACTTTCGACCACCTTGTCCCCCCAGGTTTGATATCGAAGGGTTTGCTTCGCCCTGGTTGGCCAAGTCGATGGCGGATGTGGTGGCGGGAACGTGGGCTATCCGTGCAACGGAAGTCAGCTCTCTGGATAGACGAAATCGAGGACGGCGGCTACGTCGATGAGGTCGGTTCGAGCCTGGAGGAAGCTTTGCTGCCGCCGGCATCGTTACCGTTACCGTCGCCCCTCACGCCTACCTCGCTCGTTGACTAGACTACTAATAGCGGTTGGGGACTGAGGGGGCTTGAGGGAGGGGCGGGCGCCTCTGCGGGGGAATGGATGTGATGTGATGTGACTCATGAGATATTAACGCCGCAATATTCCTGCAATATCCTTGCGCCCTTTGACGTTTCTCGGGAGTAAATTATTTTTTTGTTGGAACATTAAGCGGTCGATCTGACGTCTTTGAGGAGTGAGTAGTGTCGGTACCTGACATCTTTGGGAAGTGAATTGTATCAGGACATGAGGCGGCCCACCTACCACCTACCGCAGTATTAATACGTGTACAAATCAAGGCTTTACATTTGCCCGCCGGTGCTGTTCTGAAGGTCTACGACGTGAACATTAGGCACCGCCTGTGGTATGAGGTGGAGAGTTTTGTCAGCCAAATTGCAGTTGGAGGGATGCAAGCCCAGAGGTGCTAGTGGCGCAGGCAACGATCACGTGTGTCGTGTGTTTGTGTGTGTCGGTGTATTGTGGCATAGACCGCACTAACCGGCTGACCAATGAAAAGGCGTCAGTCTCAAGTGCGGTTGGAATCAGAAAAATAAGTAAATACACTATATATATATATTTTTTTTTTTTTTTCTCCCATCATGGGATTCTGTCGTCTGCTCCTCTGGCACCTATCCTCCACTTCTACTATTTAGCTAGACGTCCCAACCGGGGTCACATAGGAGGGGGGGGCTGGACCCCCTCCTGCGGTTCCTGCCTGAGGTATTTTTTTCAAGAGAAGGGTACAGCAATCCCTTCCCTCGCGACTTAGAAAGTCGATTACGGTTTACTAACAACGAGCTTTGCAACGCGTCGCTTTCATCCTAGACCAGGATGTATAAGTGAGAAATATATAGGTGTGTGTGTCTCATGCACAGCGTAGGCCGCGCTAAGAGATAGCTGGCTGATGAAGTGTCAGTCCCGCGGTATGCCCGCTTTGAGCCTGTCTGTGCTTCTCTGATTTTGTAGCACAGTTGACGACGCTAGCTCGTTGACGGATGGTGTGTGTTCTTTGTTTTTTGTTTTTTCGTATGGAGTGGTAGCCTTGTCTCAAAACCATAGCTGTAAGTACAAATGTTGATGCGAGGAACAGAGCAGGAGCGATCTGCCTCCAGCCCGTGCCTGTTTCATAGTGAAGACGATTATGGAACCTTTTGTACATATCGAGGAAAGTGTTGGTACGGCCCATTCTGAGATTAAACCGGGCGTGTTTGTGAGCTAACTTACAACACACGGTTTGAAACGTTATGTCTGGTCGAGAGACCCTGACAAACGCCAACCGGAACAATTTTCGACGTTTGAGACTTGCCTCTGCCTCAAATCCCTTGTCGATGAAGGGGATGCTGAAGAACCTAGGAAATCGCTAGTAGGCTAAGCACTTGGTGCCGAGGTGATTTTCAAACCGTTCCTACCCGACCATGGGTCGAACTACTTCGGTTAGCCCAGCCAGAGTCTGAGGCCCGCCTTGTTTTCTCTCGAATACAGAATACGAGTACAAGTCAACGGTGACTTTGAAGAAGCACGATGACCACTAGACTAGTGGTCATCCTGCTTCTGACAAAGCGAACAGTGGCTACGCGGCACATCTTTGGAATATATTACACTATTGCTGTGGCCGTACGTCGACTTTGAGAAGGCTGTGGCGTTCCCTGCAGGGACGAACAATTCGCTTGCCCTTGTTGTGACTGGAATTATTCTACCACCGGCTTCCCTTCGGTAAAGAGTAATCTCCGTTTCCTCTCTCTCCTCTCTCCTGTTCCGGATGACCTCTCTCTCTCTCTTTGTCCTTTCTCGCTTTTTTCATCGTGATGGTTCTACGGAACATGAACATGAACATCAAGGACGCTCCTCATGAAACGTCATAGAGGTTTCCCGCTTCAAGTTACTTCAAGGATATAAAATGTTAGGGACGTGCCCTGCTTTGAGGACATGAACATCACCGACGACCCTCAGCAGTGTAAAACATAAAAAATGTTATCCGCTTTAAGGAAACGAATGAACGAATGGACGAATGAACATCACGGACGCGCCGCCCTTCAACTATGGTAAATTTTTTCTTTCAGAAGCAAGTATGATGATGATGTCCTTCCTGACCAATGAAAAAAACGCTCGATCGGTGTGTGTGTGTGGTTGATGCTAAGGCACTCCCCCCCCCCCC